CAAGACCTGCATCTTAATTGATTTTGTTTTTTCTTCTGCCCACCTTCAGCTGAAACAGAAGCATCCTTGAGGGGGGCCACACAGCCAGGGACAGTAACAGCATTAGGTATCTTGGGACAAGACATTGAACCATCCTGTGCTCACTGGCAAAGCTGGGCAGAGGCACCTTCTCAGCTCTCCCTCAGCAGGCAGGTGCCTGCTGGACACTCAATGTGCTTCTAACCAAGAAGGGGCCTCAACTCATTCCCAAATGTACTTTCCCTCACTGCAACTCTAGAGGTGCAGGAAAGTGCACCATCCTTTTTACACCAATGGATGGCAAACGGGGAGACTAAAGCCCAGATCCACAAGGTACTATGAAGGTGTAATGCTCAGTGTTAAAAACTCTGAGCCTTGAGACTTTACAACCCTTTCCAAAAGGGCAACTAAGACCCTTCGAGTCTCTGGCCCTGTCCACTCTGCCCTGACAAATGTGGGCAGCAGGCATGAGCAGGCAAACACTTTGCACAGGAACAGCAGCCATACAAGGGCAGGAATACCGTCCCTGCAGCCCCAGTGACACCTTCCCAGGTGAGAGAAGCTAGCCCAGTAAAAGGGCAATTTTGTTGATGCAACTGCCCCAACCTGGGGACTTCTGCCTCAGGAGGACTCTGGATCCCAACTGGCTTAGGTGTGTTGATCAAACTGCATCACACTGACCCAGATAATATTTCATCTAGGAAAACACTAGCTAAATATCTTTAGCACTCCAGCCCACATACAAACAAAATGAAGCTGTCTAAGCTCCACTCTTCCTCATTCCCACCTTTTTGGAGCTTCTCTGCTAAGAAGGGCAACCCCAACGCAGTGTTTTATTTCTTAAAAACAGAAACATGTGTTAGAGGGACTAAATGAAACCATTAAGTCACTGCTTGATACCCCCAAAAGGATTGTCATCGGTGAAGAGGGAAGACCAGAGATTCAAGCAGCTCTATACACCATTTAGGTATTTCTGTTTAAAAACAAGGTACATGGGGAACACAAACCTGCTCTCTTTATTCCATATGGTAGTTCAAACTTATCACTCCCGTGGAACTCCGCCACTCTGATAAAATCATTAGCGCACAGGAATGGGTATATTTTGTCGACACTAACAAAGCAAAAAAGTAAAAAGCTTCAAAAATCCACATGAAGTATTTGAATACACCAATAATTCATGCAATTGCTTTTTTAAAAAAAAGCTTTCTTTATCCTACTTCAAGTACTATCAATTTTTAAAAGAACAAAACTCATGAACACATGGAAAGAAAGCAAGTAACAGAAAAGGGGAAGATCTTCTAACGGAAAATATAGGTAGAGAGTGAGACAGAAATTATTTCTCTGCTAGTGTAAGTCATATATTGTCATTAAAATTACATGACTGAAAGCTTACACCATGAGACAGCATATTTAAGAGAATATGCAACCCAGGAAGACAATAACTTCAGGTTTGAAAAGTACACAATAGAGGCAGCAAGAGTTATTATAATATACATGGCAATTAAGTTTTTCATATACATATATGTATAGCAATTTAATAAATAAGAATGGGATTTGAAACAAGGTGGTTTAACTTGAAAACACCATCACCTGAAGATGTCAGCTTATTTGAGATGTGCTCCCATTCCAAACAAGTGGCACTTTATAGCTGTGTTGACATTAGTAAGTAGTTTGGGGAAACAAAAAAGTATGCAGTTCACACATCTCAGGTTTTTTCACTCTGGACTAACTCTAGTAGGGTCCCACAGACTGAACACCCCTTAGCAGCTGCAGCACATCAGGTGTGCTCCTGCAGTGCATCTGTCTTAGCCAGAAGTCAGATATCTGAAAGGAGCCCAGCACACATGTGCCAGGACCACCCTGCAATGAGAAGCACGGCACACAGGGATCACAAGGAGGTTTGCCTCAAAAGTGCATTCCTCCTGCAAACTAGAACATGATGGCATCACACCTTATAAGCCTCAAGACAGAAAGAATGGGTCCGTCCTTTCTTCAAAAGACAGTAACCACAGACAAGGGTTATCTCAGCAGGGAAGGGACTCTTATTACCTTATCTGCCAAGTCAAGCCAAATGAATTAACAGTAGACCCAATCCTGTCACATGCTACCATGCCCTTGGCTTCACCTTGGATTAAGTCGACATGCACTCACTGAACTGGTTGACTTCGTAGCAATCCTGGGTACTAGGTCTTACATTAAAGTGTTAACACAGAAGTATACAACCACAGTGAGAAAACCTAGTGTTGATCATAAATATCCACTGCCAGCGCATGACTTGTTTCTCCATTAAGAATATTAATAGCTGTTAAAAAAATCCCTCCCTTTCACAAATCAAGCATCTCACTCTAACCTCTATGTATTCAGAACATACTAACTGTAAAAAGGACAAAAAAAACCAACAAAAAAACCAACATAACACCGCAGCCCACACACCAAGAACTAGGCCATAGGTTAACTAAGCAAGACGAGATAACTTGGAGACACCATGCACTAAACACCCATATTAAATTTAATAACTTGCCTTGCTGTTCAGAAGCAGCTGGTAAGCTTAGACATTATAAATAATTTACCTACTGCAAAGAGATTCTTAATTCCAGCTCTTCTAGCTCTGGTTCCTTTCCAATAAATAATTCTGCCAGGTTAGAAATCCTTTCAACCTCCCCAGGCTATTACCGAAGAGCACAGACCAGATCTGCAGCTCACACAAATTATCCCTGTAAAGGAGTTATGGAAATATGCAGGAGACTCTCTTCCAGTTGCACACCAACCTTCTTCTCGCTGCGCATCTCCAAGTCCATTCCTGCCCCCTTGCTCAGCACCAGAGCTATCCTGCTGTGCCTGACACCGAGACACCCCCCAGGTGGGCAAGGGACCCAGGACCACCTCTCTGGTCCAGGCAGCTAACTAAAACTCAAAGACTACTGGACTGCTTCGAGGAGGACAAACTTGAGAACCTTCAATGTTTTTTAAAATAATAGTGTTTTGTTGCACAAAGAAAAAAAGAAAAAAAAAAAAAGAAGAAGAAAAGCAGTTGTGTTGCCACAAGCAGGAAAAGCAGCAATGAATCCAAGCCCAGAAACTGTACTTCCAGAGGTGAATCAAAATGTCAAATAGCCCAGAATATGTATAATAGCCCATTTCTACCCCAAACAGCACAGCCTTTCCTTCCTCCCCCGCCTCCACTTCCCACAGAAGACTCACCCCAGTAAAGATTCAAATGCTGGTTTCAGGAGACAGGTGTCCAGCACATTCCTCCTCTCCACAGCGGTTGGTGGCAGCCTGGAAAACAGTTTTCAAGAAACAGCAAGAATAGGAATATGTAACAGCAACAAGGTAGGGAAACTTAGACATGCCAAATTAGTAAAATCCAATTATGAGAACACACCAAATTCTCATGACTGCCTCTGTCCGTGTTATAAAAATGGATCTTCCTCATTGTGGCATGATTAATTTTACTAGTAAAGGCTTTCATCTCACAGTGCTGCTCCAAGGTGTCTGCAATCGCCCCTGTTCAGCAACTCCCGAAGCAGCCCTAAGCAGAGGTGAGCTCTCAGGCCCACCTGCAGAGGAGCAGCACACCCGGGCTGAATCACCCCTGCAGCCAGACCAGAGAGCACACCCCCAGCACGACTCAGAGAGGAGACGGGAGTCTTGTCTGGAGAGAGGAACAGACAGCACCACATAGGGTACTCCAAGGAAAGTGAGATTCTCTGGAGATAAGTCACTCCTCTCATAAGGCGGCTAAGACTTATATTTCAAAGCACATCCCCGCCTTGGCTATTTAGCCCAATTAATAACAAATACGAAGCCCAGAAGGGAAGGCAAAGTTCAGTGTGAGCAATGCGTGCATCTGGGCTGCATTAAGAACAGAAGGATGAAACCACCACATTAGAGCCACAAGCCAAACAGACCATTAAGGTTAATTGCTTTTGGTAACCTCAAGTTGTCATGTGAATACGGACACTGAGAAAGCACCCTGTGACATGTATCAGCCGGCCAGCTCATTGCTTTCCAGCGTCAGCCTCACAGACAGCATTTTGCAGGGTGGCCTCAGAGAGAACAGAGGCCTGCTTTTAAGTTTTAGTATATGCACTCATTAGTCCCACAAACCTAATTGCAGGAAGTTAGTAGCACAAGATCTGCTTACACATGCACTTGCACATCACAAGTGAACCACACCGCTGATTTATTATATTTTAAGCACAAAAGTTGCCCTCATAGCTCTGCTCATTTTATTCAGGTATAACACAGAATTGCAAAAATGTGTAAGTTGTGAACAAGTATCCTTCCAACAATTCACTGCTTGTTACAGACAGTCACTGTGAGTGGCCATAAATATTAACCAAACACTGGAAACATGACATGTTACAATCATGTTCATAACAGAAACAGCCAACAGACACAGATGTACAATAACCAACTAAACAGGGAGCCTACAGACAAAGGCTATGTATTTTAGTCTCAATCCCTCCTGCCCACCCAAAAAGCAACCAAAGGAAAAACCCCACCACAAAAATGTTCGACTGCTGAACTTACTGGGTAACTCCACTAGTCTCATAGGAAGGAGGAGCCCTCACAGAGGAAGTCTGTCCATAAAAGCTAATCCTGTGAAAAGGGAAATGGAAACCACTGTGGTTTGCTATAAACAGAAACCACAACAGAAAGTCATTTGTATCAATTGTATGCTATAAACAAGACAAATAGAGGCACATCAATCACTACTGTTAAAAGCTATCGCTATTACCTTCATGACACAAACACACTGGTCAGTCCTGGTCACAGCTGTGCAAAGGCCAAAGGAAACTCATTCGATAAGCACCCTGAATTTTAGATCCCAAGCCACCTGTCCCTTGCAGCCTGGAGATAGCAAAGGCTCACTTCCTACAAAGTTGCCACTGGGACTCAACAAATTTCAGTTTTTCAAAAGGTGCCCGCTACACCTGCAGTTATTCCCATGTGTAAAACAGGTCTCTCCCACATCATTTATTAGACATCTAAAGGAACAACCTAATACTACATACACATGGGTTGGGGAGAGATATGGACACATGACGTACACAAGTAAGATCTCTCCTCACCTGAACACCTATTCTCATGAAAATCAGAGGGCCTCCCTATCTCTGACATCCTGACTTCTGCATACAACCAGGCTCATATCGACTACTAGGTTTAAAAGCGACATGAGAGAAGGGGTGACAGGACAGAATGATCACATTCATTCCCTGATCATACAAAAAAACCCCCACAAACCAACACACACACACACACACAGAGAATAGTAATCACTTCTGTTTATTGCTAGTAAACAGCTGCTCAGCGACTCAGCAACACAGCAGCTCACAGCCACATATCTCTCACAGCCATGAAGGTACATGCACTATAAGCAAAAAAAAAGCATCACCATACCAGTAGAGGTTATTTCTCCACAGATTTCCATGCAGTATACCATACATAACAGCAGCAGCCAGGATGAAAAACAGAAGAATTCGTTTCATGACTGGTAGACCTGAAATGTAAGAAAAACAGAACAAGACATTTAAATCCAAGTTATGCTATTAAAATGAACTTCTATAAAGCATCTTGAAATCTACAAAAGGAAATCATCATTATTACAGCCATAATCCACCACCACAAATTTGACAGGGAATCACTCCCCAGTTTGATTTCTCACAAAAAGTCCCAGTGATAGGAACTGAACGCTGCTCTGTGCCTACCACATGTGCATACTCTGCACAGTAACACAGAAGCATTGAAAAAGCCTCACTCTATAGATTCTCTCTGAAGACACAGGAGGAAGATGGGGTCTTCCAGAAGCACGTCGCACTAGGAGCTCCTTTCTGTCCACCGGCAGCCCAAAGAAACCAGCCTCTTGGGCTAGAAGTTGGCCTTTACAGGTATCTGCGCTCCTCCTCTTTCTTGGGCCACCCACTATCTGTTTCCCTAATTACAAGTTAAACAAGCATTGGCACTTTGCAGAAGGCAGATAGGCTGATGCTGATGAAGCAGAACAGGGTATGAGCTGCCACAAATTGCTACTGGCTTTTTTAGGATCACTGAATATTCTTAAATCTGGTTTTGGACATTTAAAGCTGCACTAAAGCTGTCTGCTTGAGTCCTCGTGTCCTGCACAGTCTCCAGCTTCTGACACAGGCCAGACTTCATTGCTCAAGTGACAGAAAAAGGCTATTTTCCACACATAGCAAAGCAAGGAAGAGAAGTTAGGACCCAATCTATGGAAGGCACTTAAGAAGTTACGGAGAAGTAGCAGAGAATGTGTTCATTTTTCAAATAGAGTTTTCACCTCATGGCACACCCTAGGAAAACAAGCCCAGAGGAGTATCAGAAGCCCATGTATTTGGCAAGACACATTGGGGGAAAAGCAAGTTCTGCATTGCTCACATCTAGCACACTGAGCTGCTCTGTCAGTAGTTATGAATGAACTGTTGTTGTTTAATCTTCTGAAAGTCCAAAATGGCCATTCTGGCCACAAATTACAGTGGAAATTTACTTGAGAGCTACATCCTTCTATTATTGTCACTTCTCCCCCATCATGGTAAGCAGGTTCAATAAACACAATGGATGAACGCCTACTTGCATATCCGTATTTTAAAGTGAAAGGAACAAACAATTGTCCAGCAAAAACAAGCCATATCCAAACATACCACTGCCTTTTCCAAGTGCAGAGCTTTAGCTTTACAGTTTTTTCTCTTTTTTTTATTTTATTTTCTCAAATTCCATGTTGCTTTTTAGAATAAGGTTGTTTTTATTTTAAACCTGTTAAACAGCCCTAAGGCAATAAAACTCAAGGTGGATATAGTCTAATCGATTTACAGCAGTATGCTTTATGCTAGTAACATCTCAATATCAAAACCTTGTATTAAAGGCCAAGAAACTACTAGAGAGAGCTGCATTTTGTTATTAGAAATTGAGAAGCAAACTACTGCCACTCACAGAGCTTCAGCCCTGAAGAAATACCTAACAGTGAACTATTTGTTACAATGACTTGCGTGCAACAAACCACCACATCCTTATTCTTCCTCCCCAGCCCCCATATTCTCAGAGTTTAATTGTGAGGTCAGAGATGGGGCTCTATAACAGCATCTACCCATAACAAATCCATGCAATGAGCAAGCTATAATCTATCAACCTCAAGTATATACTTGAGGCTGTCCTGCTCTGTTGTGGATGAACTACTCATAGGCTGCAGCTGTTGCCATTTCAACCTTTCATCCCTCCTTCAAAAGTAACGCCACCTCCTGTACATCTCCAACTCCCTTGACTCTTCTTGAAGACTCACTACAATTTTTTTTTTTTACAGTCATTCTCAGCTTCTAGAGCAAAGCCTTACATTTTGCAGTAATTTTCTTAAGTGTCTTTCCCTAAAAAAAGAACACTACAAGAAAACTCACCCACTGGGTTTAGTCAAGTGTCATTAACAGCAAATTTACTGGTTTACTTGAAAAAGATACTGCGCTCTTCAGGTCTTTTTCCTTTCATTGTCAGTACTTTTACCCCCTCCTGCTTTGCAAAAGTTTGCTAAAACTGAAGCAGAAATCTACTGTTTACTTTTTACTCCTTAATTCAATCAATGCAAACTTCAGTTAAACAACATAATGAACCAGCTCTTCAGATAAAGTTGCTAAATTAACAACTGATTAAATTGCTGACTTTGCTGACTTCAATGAAAAGGAGGACCTCGCTGAAGAGTCAGACCAAGCTACAAAACAGAGAAAATACAAGGCAAAGCTGCCCATAAAAGGGTCTTTTAAAAACAAGAATATTATTTATTCACAGAGGAAAAAAATGTTCTGTTTGTAAAGTATTTACAGAGATATTTGTACAGCCTGCAAAAAATTAAAACAAGAGAATCTAAGTCAACATCGTTCTTCAAACAGGATCATAAGGAATCAGTAACAACTTTCACTATCTTATGTAGGACATTCAGCCTGGCACACACATGAAAATGCAGCATCATTAAGGGTGTACCTAACTCAGCTCTTAGGAACATAAAATGGTCTTTAATTATACAAGTGTCTTCTAACTATCCCGTCCCCCAGTGCCTGGCTTCATTCAATGCTTTGAAGAGAAACTCCTGTAGTCAAGAAAGATGGTCTTTCTATTTCTAGTGAAGACTTTCTTAACCTGGTTTAGTAAACAGAACCATTACAGGGTTTACAGATGAAATTATTCTGGATGTATTTTCAATGGTGATGGCATTTTCCAGCCCTCCCTTCCTATTTTAAAATAGCTGAGCATTACAGAAAGTTAATCAAAGGAAAACAAACTCCTACGATGCAAATATTGGTCAAGGTTGGTCAGGGCTAAGCAAAACAAGGAGGACAAAGCTGAAACTCAACTATTCACTTCCCTCCTCTTTCTGAAAAGCCTACAGTGACGCACACACAATGAAAGGGGGAGAAGAACCCAGCAGGCCAATGGAAGCAAACAAGTAACAGAATGCATAAGTGTTGTAAAGAGATTAATGAGCATTTTTAAATATGAATCTAAGCTAACTTCCGCTGTTCAACTTCCCAACCCTGCCAAGGCAGAGCTACAACTACAGAATTGGACAAGACAGAGGCTAATTTTCAGTTCCCTTGGTGGAGGTGGGGAACCAACATCCTTGTCAGAGCTGCATCTTTACTTACAAATAGCCTTTCTTCTGGTATTTCAGTAAGCATGGTATCTGATATGAGCTACTATCTCATTGCCTTTTATCTTTCAACTTACATATGTGGTTGATGCAGCCATGCCACTGAATAAAATAATCACACAGGAAACTAGACCTATTGGACTGGGCAATCACATGACCACACTATTGCCTTTTTTCATAACACTTGTAAACCCTCCTTTTGTTTTCTTGCTTAAAATTAGGTTGTTAGTAATACAATGCAGGAGGCTTTTCCCATCTGTCCTACTTATTCTGTAAAGCACCTTTGACTATTACTATAGTAAATAGTTAATAAATATTTAACTAAAAAGTGGTTACTACTAAATTAAATACTACTCATCTTAAAACAATCTTAGCTCCATAACTAGTCTTGTGACAGTTTAACTTCTTACTGCTGCAATTAACTGACAGCATGAAAATTTCAGTTCACTCAGACCTCAAATTCCTAGCCCTGGTAATTGTGGGGGAGGAAGGGAAGTGAGCCTGAAAATGTGCTCCAAGTAGACCTTGAATTTAAAGGGACAGGGAGAAAAGTACATAAAAACCTGCTAAAAAGTTTAAAAAGAAACATCAGGATTTTTAAGATGTAGTCAGTATTTTGTGGACTTGCTTGTGATCTCCAGTCCTGTAGCACTGCTTCCTTTTGGTCAGGATGCAGCGCACGCCCAGCAGAAAAACTACGCAGCAGAAGGACAACCAAGGAGGGAGTTTTCTCATGTCATCATTTGTCTCAAGTTAACTTGCCAAAACATGAGCACATTATGGCACATATCTATATATTTCTTCTGCCAAATCTATACACATTCAGTGTTAACTCTTACAGTTCTTGCTCTAAGTACACCCATAGTTCATTAATCCTCCCCCTCTTCAGGAAGGAAATGCTGTAGCAGACAATGTAACAGCACTGCAGCAAAGTCTGAAGTGGCTGGGTCAGTCTAGCGCCTTCCCTCACACAGTTCTTAAATTTTTTCATCATCTCCAATGCTCCTAGCAACGTTAGTTTATTAAGAAACAGAAATACTGAGAAATACTACGTTTTTCTTAGATTTTCCTAGCAAACTGGCAGTGAATTAAAACATTTCTAAATCTCTGACAACAGTGACTGGTTGGTTTTGAAATGAGAAGTTTAACAGCATCTTAACTGGAAAAGATTCTTGCTAACCTGCCCCGACCCACACAAAACCAAAGCAGTTATTCCTGGTTCCTGAGGGCCTGCACAAAGCATGACACCAAAAAACTAAGCTTTTACTGTGCCAAAATGTCACTGGGGACTTCCACCATCATGCCACATGTACAATCTTCACCAGCAGTTAAAGATTTCTCCTGCACTGGAAGTTAAGATGTTTTCAGGCTCCTTCTGCCCTAAACTCTTTCAGCAATGAGGGGATAAGCAGTAGAGGAATAATTTGCTGACTATGAAAACTGGAGCCTTCTTCCCCTCCAACAGCATACCAAACTAGCCATTTACTTCCACAGCACCCTGATAACTGTGAAAAAAGAAGGTCTTCCTCCTGAGGCAGCTTCTCTTTGTTAAGGAAGGTTTCCAATGTTTCCCCTAACATTTCCTCTTTCTCCAACTACTGCAGTAGACCTGAAAAAAATACTCAACAGCAAGCAGTGATGTCCAGTAGATTCAGTATCACAGTAATAGTGCTGTTTAGTATTTAGTCAATCCTCTTCTTTATCAGCTACTACAGCCAGAAATGTAGCCTCTGCCGACATTAATCTACTGGGGAGAGATGTAGCCTAGAGCTGTGTCCACCTTTCACCTCTTGCACAGCTGCACACTAATTCAGGACAGGCTGCAAGAGTCAATAGATTGGTTTTAGGGT